TTCTATTTCATTGATTTCTGCTCTGATCTTTATTATTTCTCTTCTCCTGCTGGGTTTAGGCTTTATTTGCTCTTCTTTTTCCAGCTCCTTTAGGTGTAGGGTTAGGTTGTGTATTTGAGACCTTTCTAATTTCTTGAGAAGGGCTTGTAGTGCTATATTCTTCCCTCTTAGGACTGCCTTGCTGCATCCCAAAGATTTTGAACAGTTGTGTTTTCATTTTCTTTTTTTTCCATGATTTTTAAAAAATTCTTCTTTAGGGGCGCCTGGGTGGCTCAGTTGGTTAAGCGACTGCCTTCGGCTCAGGTCATGATCCCGGAGTCCCGGGATCGTGTCCCATGTCAGGCTCCCTGCTCAGCAGGGAGTCTGCTTCTCCCTCTGACCCTCCTTCCTCTCATGCTCTCTGTCTCTCATTCTCTCTCTTGCAAATAAATAAAATCTTAAAAAAAAAAATTTTTTTTTAAATTCTTCTTTAATTTCCGGTTGTCCCATTCATTCTTTAGTAGGATGCTCTTTAGCCTCCATGTATTTGACTTCTTTTCAACTTCCCTCTTGTGATTGAGTTCCAGTTTCAAAGCATTGTGGTCTGAAAATATGCAGGGAATGATCCCAATCTTTTGGTACCAGTTGAGACCTAATTTTTGACCCAGGATGTGATCTATTCTGGAGAATGTTCCATGTGCACTAGAGAAGAATGTGTATTCTGTTGCTTTGGGATGGAATGTTCTGAATGTATCTGTGAAGTCCATCTGGTCCAGTGTGTCATTCAAAGCCCTTATATCCTTGTTGCTCTTCTGCTTAGATGACCTGTCCATTGCAGTGAGAAGGGTGTTAAAGTCCCCTATTATTATTGAATTATTATCGATGCTTTTCTTTTTTTTTTTTATTAATTGGCTTATTAAAATTCTGCTCTTGGGGCGCCTGGGTGGCTCAGTCAGTTAAGTGGCTGCCTTCAGCTCAGGTCATGATCCCAGGGTCCTAGGATTGAGCCCCGCATCGGGCTCCCTGCTCAGCAGGAAGCCTGCTTCTCCCTCTCCCACTCCCCCTACTTGTGTTCCCTCTCTCACTGTCTCGCTCTCTGTCAAATAAATAAAATCTTAAAAAAAAAAAAAAAAGAAATTCTGCTCTTTATGATTTCCTTCTCAGTATCAATAAGCCTGGAAAATAAATAATAGTCCAGAGGCTCCTTGGGAAATGTGAAATTAGCAAAGATTGTCTTTAAATAAAATGTATTTTCAATTTAGTTTTATTTGATTTTCATTTAGTTGTGTTATTTTGAGAAAACTAATTACTATTTTGTGCCTCAGTTTTCTCACCTATAAAATGAGGATAGCTTATTAGGGTTGTCATGAATAGTCAATGAAAAAACAATGTAAAATACTTAAAACAGTGGCTGGTACATACTAGGACCAGAATAACTCTTAGCTATGTTATTATTAATATTAATATATTACTAATATTTTATATAAACTATAGAAGACCCAGAAAATTATCCCTATTTCAATTTATGTTTATGATTTTATTAGTTGGAACACATAATTGGACATAAATTCACATGATAAATAAATATTAAAAATCAGGAGTATTATGGAAAAACTGGAACATATGGTATTATAACTAGGATGTACATTTTTGCTGACCAGAATACTTGTGCCCACCAAATATAGCATTTTCTCTTTGTGAAATCTTCCTACCTGATGCCATTACTTCTTTTGCTTTCAAACTATTGCTCTTTTAATTATCAGTGGAACTCTTTTATAATAAAATCACAGAGAATACTCCAGTGTGGAAGTAATAGTGTGCTCTTGGGACTGGGGTCCTTGACCCAGAGTCCTGTTCATTTATCATCTCCTTGACATCCCAGGCTCCTGGAAACATAGTTTGAAAACTTTATTTCTTATTGTTAGAGATATAATCAGTTCATCAGATAATGGTTTTCTTTATAATTATTATGCTCTGGTTGTATATTTCTTTTTTTAAAGATTTATTTTATTTTATTTTTATTTCGGAGAGAGAGAGAGAGCATGAGCTGGAGGGGCAGAGGGAGAGGCTGATGCGGCACTTGATCTCATGTCCCTTGGATCACAACCTGAGATAAAACCAAGAGTCTGATGCTTAACCAGCTGCACCGGCCAGGTACCCCTTGTTGTGCATTTATAATGATATGCTTTATTTTCTATTTGGAGATAACTTTTTTTTAAGATTTTATTTATTTATTTGACAGAGAGAGACATAGCAAGAGCAGGAACACAAGCAGGGGGAGCGGGAGAGGGAGAAGCAGGCCTCCCGTGGAGCAGGGAGCTCGATGCAGGACTCGATCCCAGGACCCCGGGATCATGACCTGCGCTGAAGGCAGACGCTTAACGACTGAGCCACCCAGGCACCCTATTTGGAGGTAACTTTTGGGAAATACTTTAATCAGCAGTACCTTTACAAACGACATCTTGGGGTTGTTTACTTTTAGAGATGAGTTGTTTCAGACATTTTATATTGATTATTTTTTGCTTCTCTACAGAGGGTGATTTCTCTTTTTTTCTTTTTTCCTTTTTTTTTACAAATCAGATTACACCATATCTAGGGTCTATACTTCCTCATGAATTTATCTTGATCAATAGTCCAACTAAGTAAAGAGCTCATAGGAATGTTTGATTAATTTTTTTTCTTATTTTTATTAGGGAATAATTTATGTAAACTAATTTCATAAGTTTAAAGTGCACAATTTAGTTTTGACAGTTGTATATTCCTGTGAAATCTCTACTATAATCAAGATAAGATTTCCATCATTTCCAAAAGCTTTTTACTGCCCCTTTATAGCTCATCCCTCCCTCCACCCCTGGCTCCAGGTGATTATTCATTTGTTTTTTGTCACTATAGGTTAGTTTGGACTTCATATAAATGGAATCATACATTTGTCTCTGGGCTCTTCCACTCAGCATAATAATGATTTTGAGATTTATCTATGTTGAAGCCTGTATGAATAATTCTTTCCTTTTTTTGCTGAGTATTATTCCATTGCATAGATGTACCACATTTTGTTTACCCATTCACCGGTTGATGAACATTTGGGTTCCTTTTGGTTTGGGGCTTATTGTGGAAAAAAAAAAGCTGCTATGAACATGGGTGTTTAAGGCTTTGTGTAAATGTATGTTTTAATTTCTCTTGGGTAATACCTATGAATGGAATGGCTGGGTTATATGGCAGAGGTGTGTTTAATTTTTTAAGAAGTATTTTGTGAGAACTTATGTAGTCAACTCCTCACATATATCTGGGCTCAGATAAGGATACAAAATCCACTGATTCCTTTAGGTAGAAAGCAGGTAGAAGTCCTTATTGGCTTACTAATTTCTATATTTAATTGCTTATCACTTCCTTTGGTTTCCTAAAATGATTTCAACATCCTTCTTCTTCATCTCTCCCATCCTACCCATACCATTTCAGTAGGTACTGAGTACTTGGGTACCTATTTTGTACCCAGTACTGTGCTAGACAATAAGGGGGCACACAGGACTTTGAGTTACTGAGGCAGCAAAATAGGGACCCCTCCTGTTGCCCGGACAGAGCTGGAGGAACCACAGCTATAGATTATGCTACAGGCAACATATGCCCAAACTCTTGAGGCTGCATTCCATTTACTTGACTCACATGCTAGAGGAAATGTCCCACCTTTGTTTGAGTGCGAATTGTATTTATTTATTTATTTTTAAAGCAGGTGTGGCTGTTAAATGAAGAGGAAGTGTTATGTGAAATCCTGGGGGGGCGGGGGGCGGGGGGCGGTGCGGTGAGAAAACTTTCCTGTTTTAATACCAAATAGCTTTAGATCAGGGGTTCGCAGTGTGTGGTCTCAGGACTAGTAGCATCAGTTTCCCCTGAGAAAGTGTTAGAAATGTAAATCTTTGGGCCTCAGTGTGGGCAAACTGAATCTGAAACAATAGACGAGGGATCTGTGTTTTAACAAGCCCTCCAGGTGATTCTGATCCATGCTCAAGTTTGAGGGCCACTCTACTAAGCTCATTCCAATTGTATAGATGGTTAGCTTTAGGTTTGGAGGAGTAAGTCCTGGGAAACTGTGGACAATAGGAATAACGTTGCCACAGTGCCTATCCACCTCTCCCAGCATCTGCAATTCGTCTTCCACTCCTGGGCGGAACTCAGGCTCCTGGGCTTGGGTCCTCTCCCCTAGGAGCCGCAGCTAAAACGCGGGAAGTGGATTAAGAGTTTGCTGGCCTGGGTGCCGGCCGGGCATGCGTAGTGGCGCGAGCGCAGCAGCTAGGCGGCCGCCGAGAGGTATCCGCAGAGTGGAGCTGGGGGTGCTTGGATCCTGAGCGAGAGCTGCGGGCTCGACGGCTGCAGCAGGTACGGGGCGCGGCGGTGGGGTCCGAGAGTAAGGCTGGAACGGTAGGCAGAAAGCAAAGGTTCACTTCTTCGCCGGCGCACAGCGGCTTGAGTGGGGGGTGTCTCTCCGATTTCCCTCGCTCGAGAGGCGGCTCCCCGCGCCCGGCTGTGCAGTGCGGCGCCCTCAGACCTCCGGGTGCGCACCTGCCCGTCCCGGCAACATGGAGTGCGGGCAGGTGTTAAATCATGTATTTATGCTGCTTACACAGTAAGCCTGTGAACTGAATTATGATTCCCTGCTTGAAGTTAGGCATTTTGTTAACTTTTCTATATTCCTCTGTCGCTTTTAAACTTTGGGTGGCTGCTGACGAGGCTTTCTGATCCAGCCTGTTTCACTTGAACTCCGTGAGTGATTTTATTTGCCTTTGGTCTTTTGGTGCATAGGATCAATAGGGCTGGAGTGAAATCGCATCCGTGGTTTCTAGTTTTGGTGCCTTCCTGGAGCAGGGGGCCTCTGGATGCGGCATAAAAAATGTCAACTTTCAGCGAATTTCAGTGCCAAATACCTTATGCATTTCAGCTACATTTTAAAGTAGAAACTTTATAAAAGGTTAAGATTCCCCACCCCCGCCCCTTACTTTTTCTACATTAGTGTTATTTCAGGCTTAATCTGGTGCTATTCAAAGAAAGCGGTCTTTTAGATGAGTAACAAGAGTTCTCACTTTTCTGTCCTTTATTTACCCTGTAACATCTTAGGGCTCATACACAGATGTTTTCCCCTGGGGCAGCGGTATTGGATACACTTGTAGGAGGCTAAGGCTGTGCTGCACAAAGTTCTTGGATAACCTGTGAGTCATAAAATTTTAGGTCAGGGGGCACACACTGAACCTTATTTAGGTAAAGTGTTACATTTATGATGTGGGAGGCATATAAATAGAATTAATGAGTTTAGGAAAAAGAAATTTTAAGTTCAGGAAGAGAAACCTATATGGAAAGGGAATACAGATACCTGCTTTTCCCTCCACCCTCTCCCCTTCCCATGATGAATGTTTTAATGGCAGAAATAATATACAGTTGGTTTAGTTTTGGACTGTTAGAGACCTTCAGGGTCAGCCAGTTCAATTGCTTCAGTTTACAAATGAGAAAACCGAGACCAATGAGGTTAAATGACTTGCTGTGGCTGCTGGAGCCCCTCCTTGGCAAAGCTGGGCCTAGGGCCCAGGTTTTCTGATTTTAGGGCTCTTTTTACCATCCCCCTGATAATACTCTCTTCACAGTTTGGGTTGATTATTAAACTTGACTTTTCTCTTCTACCTTGTCTGGTTTAATCAGAAAATTAGTCATTCCTGTTACTAAGCTTGATCGTACCCTATAAACACCTTTCAAAAAGTGCCCTCTCACTCAAACCCCACCTAACAATTTGCTGATTTTGAAACCGCCCTCCTTTCTTGCCTCAGGCACATTGGGCCTTTGGCTCAGAATGCCTTTTTGCCTCCTTCCCTGAAGTCCTGCCCGCACTGCAAGGTGTAACTCAGGTGTGATCTCTTCTTGAAGCCTACCTTGATTACTGTGGCCAGAAGGTAGCTCGCCCTCTTCTAAACCCTATAGCATGTATTACTGTTGTCTGTGCCGCTAGCATCCCTCTCATCTTTAGTATCCCTGATTATTGTATTTTAGCACATGTCTCAACTTCCTGACCAGTTTGTAAGCTCTTAGAACTTAAAGCCGGAACTTAAAGCCTATGACTTAGACATCCCATCCAGCACTAAGCACTATGTTCTCAGACACTGCTTGTGGGAGGTGAAATATGGATCATTTTGTAAAGGGATTTTTTTTAAAGATTTTATTTATTTTGAGATAAAGATCAGGGTGAAGAGCAGAGGGGGAGGGAGAGGGAGACAATCTCAAGCCGACTCCACACTGAACACAGAGTCCGATGCAGGGCTGGATCCCATGATCTTGAGATTATGACCTGAGCCAAAACCAAGAGTCAGACGCTTAACCGACTGAGCCACCCAGGCGCCCCTTCTAAAGGGATTTGATGTGAATATTGTGTAATATGGGGGAGGTCACGTTAGAAATATAGCAGGACAGTGGCCAAGTCAGACCAGCCTAATGGGGTGATTCTCATATTTTGATGAGAGCTCATGGATCTGTTTGGGGAGTGCTGGGGAAGGGGTAAAATCATAACAGGGGAGAGTTGCCCAGGCCTGCATTTAAGCATGTAACTATTTTATTTTATTTATTTGACAGAGAGAGACACAACGAGAGAGGGAACACAAGCAGGGGGAGTGGGAGAGGGAGAAACAGGCTTCCCGCTGAGCAGGGAGCCCGATGCGGGGCTCGATTCCAGGACCCTGGGATCATGACCTGAGCTGAAGGCAGACACTTAATGACTGAGCCACCCAGGCGCCCTAAGCATGTGACTCTTAAGTGCTTAGTGGAAAGCACAGATTTAAGAAATGATGTAAAGGAAAAGGAAAAAGCTTTTGGTAAAAGACTAGATGCAGAGAAGAAAAGACGTATTGAAAATCAGTTTCAGGGGTGCCTGGGTGGCTCACTTGTTAAGCGTCTGCCTTCGGCTCAGGTCATGATCCCAGGGTCCTAGGATCGAGCCCCGCATTGGGCTCCCTGCTTGGCGGGAAGCCTGCTTCTCCCTCTCCCACTCCCCCTGCTTGTGTTCCCTCTCTCGTTGTGTCTCTCTCTGTCAAATAAATAAATAAAATCTTTTAAAAAAAAAAATCAGTTTCAGGCTTGGTGTGTTGGTAATGGGCTTGTAATGTTGTTTTTATTTTATAAGTACCTCCGGTTGTGACATCTTTTTCTGTTTCTTACAGTAATTGATATGGTTGTCTATTTCCCATTCTAGATGATAAGCTTTTGGGGGGGTGATCTTTAACCCCTCACAATGCAAGGCATGTAGCTTTGTGGTATTAGACGCTCAATAGTTACTGCATGAATAAATAAGTGTATTTTGGCCTGGGGAAGGTGGGCATTTAGGATCTTAGAGCTATCAGGTAGTACTTTATCTAGACTATCCCCTCATTATAAGAAGAGGAACTGAGTTATGCTTAACTAAGCTAGTTAGTGTGAACAGAAGCTCTGGCTACACCATCTCCTCACTACTAGCTCATTTCATTAACTCTAACTTTTCAAGGTTATTGGCCTCAAGATTAATTTGAGTTGGCAACAGGGCACTCCAGTTCAAGATGTTCTATGGATTGAAAACCCTCAGAGCCCAATCTAACGGGAGGAACTTGGTGGCCAATGCGAGGATGTCTGTGTTATTGGAAGAGATGAGACACAAGGGATGACTGGCCATTTCCAGGTTGAATACACAGAGTGAGGAGGGGTGAGGCTGCAGTCCTGGGAATCTGCGCACGATGGAGTTGAGGAGGAGTCTGGAAAGGACCTGGTAGCCTATGGGGCAGAAGACATAAACGGGGGGCCCAAAGTCCTTGGAGTGAGAGTGTATTTGGGAGATATATTTTACACTACCGGAAGGTGGAGAGTGATGGCTGTGGGGGTCAGGTTGAGAGAGAATTGTGATCAGACTCTCTACTTGGAAAAATAGGACAGAAGGCAAATGCTTCTGAATCCAAAATAAGTTCAAGAGGTGGTTTGAAATATTTGTTTACTTGGAACAGATGTTGCAAATAGCCATTTTGCAGATCAACACAGCCTTTTCACTGAGCTGCACATAGCATTGAGGAAACTGTTGACAGCACATCTTTTACACTGAACATTCACAGCTTCAACTGGTAGTGATGCTTATTCTTGTAAAGGACTCAAGGAGAGAGAGTGGTCGAGAGGAGAGACAGAGCTTGAGAGATGATTTGCTGGGGGTGGGGGTGGGGAAGGGTTGGCCAGGTATAGAGGGATTACCTTTTTTTTTTTTGTCATGATATTAGTCAGAATTGGTTGGATAGCCAAATGCAAAATCAGGTAGTATGTTGAAGTTACTGTCTCAGACACTTAAGAAAATGCCCAAATATTACATTCTAGAGTTATATGTTATAGCGCTATTTTATAAAATGACTGTATTCTGAATCTTTCTCAAAAAAATAACGGTCATATTAGTAACTAGTATTATAGAATGTTTTCCATGGACCAGACACTGTTCTAAACACTTTATAAGTGATATGTCAGAGTCTTTACAAACTATTCTATGAGATTGGTGCAATTATTCCTGTTTTACAGGTGAGAAAACAGACTTAGACAAAGCCACATTTCTGAGGTGATACAATTGACAAGTATTGAGCTAAGTTTTGATCCCAGGCCTGCCTGTCTTCAGTAATGGAGAGCTCAAATAACTTAATTAAATATCTTAACAAAAGGCAAAGCGTTATCTGTGGTAACTCTAATAGATGCTTAGAATGGCCACAGATTTCAGCTGGTGGAACTCTCAACATTCTATGAGCCAGACTTTAATTAGAGAAACAAAACAACAGTGGTGAATCTTTCCAGTTTTTGTTTTTATTTTAAAAATTATTCCACTTAGTCTTTATCTCCTTTTTTACCCTCAAAGCATCTCTGGAGGCATTCAGCAACTCTTTCTCTGGATGCACCATAAAGCTATTTCTGTTTTGCTCCTATCCTCTTTTAGGGGGTAGAGCAGGGGTAATGGAGGTGAGTTGGTGTAGTGATCCAGGAGATGCCTCTGAGTTGGGGGGTGTGAAATTCACTTTGTGTATGAGTTTAAGGACTCTCAGGTGACCATGTTTGTAAGGATTTTTTTTTCCCCTGAGGTGGCAGGATCTACTGCTGGAAGCTCCTGGAATATCTGTGGGTCTTGACCCTTATTCTGATCTCAAGTCTTTGAACTGTGGTCAAAACCCCCAGGGTGGGGCGCCTGGGTGGCTCAGTCGTTAAGCGTCTGCCTTCGGCTCAGGTCATGATCTCAGGGTCCTGGGATCGAG